GGCATGAGGGAGTAATGTTTCTTCAGGAGATGACCTTCTAAACATGCTAGCTTTTTATTCTTCAGAAAGTATATGTCTGCGAAAGAGAGAGAATGCATGTTGTCATGGCTGTCGTTGCCTACAATGACATAGTAGAGCTCAGACATAGGTTAACTGTCTTATCTACTGTTTATGAGAATTGAACCTCACATCTTGGTGATCAGAATACAGTAGTAGAAAAACTGTGGTGATATGTGACACTCCTAAGTGATTTGACTTCCTCTTCCAGGTTGAAATTAATACATGCTCTGCACATAATTCTTTATTTTCCATTTTAAATTAGATCTTACTCTTCATTAATTGATGGTGAAGATATGACATGAAGTCATAGATTCAAAAAACTCACCAGCCTGTTTGAATCGGTTCTGTGCATCTGTCATTCTCATTGTATATATAGAGAGAACAATGTGGGATTATCATAACCCACAAGCACACCCAATTTACTTTGCGTGTGATTGTATATCTCTAATTGTATAGCAGGTACCATGATGATTTTTCCCCTCCTCTTCATGTTTACTTGCTTCCCTCCACCATAGAAGTGTACGTAAGAGTATAGCATTAAGTATTTTGATATATATGGCAATCATTTGATATAGGTACTGCCTTATGCAAGTGGGATTACTTTCAAAATATATTTAATATCTGCTTAAAGCCAGATCATATCTAAATTGGAGATTCTTAAGTTAGCACTTTTAAGGTAAAACCATAATTTAATACATGCATACAACACATGAAAATTGTACATTGGCAGGGAGTTTTCTGAAGAATGTCATATTCTCTAATATGTGAACTGTATAAAGCAATTTTTCTTAAATCACTGTGCTACAGAACCAAGCCAGAGCAGGTTCCAGGCCGTGTGTGTTGCCACCATCCCAGTATAGTCACGAAGACAAGATTACTTTAGCAGTCAGTTGCAATTACTTGTTTCAGTGGAATCAACAATTGTAGTTAATTATGGCTGACTATGTCTTGCTTCCTTGAAATTGAGGACCGGGTTACCTCCAGGAATGTCTCTCCCTATACCAACCTCTCTAGCCACTCCCACATAGAGTCAAGAATTCCTGAGCTTAAAAAAACCCACCCTTGTTCAACATGTGTTGCTCAAAACAACTGCAAATTGTTTGAGAATTCATAAATCTAGAAGAATGTTTAATCTTAGAAGGAAACGTGGCTGTAAATTGGTGGAGTGTGGCTATATCATTAAGAGATCCTGCATTTCTGAATTTGCCTCTAGAACAATAGATAGAGAGGTTCCTGGCAACATGTTGGTCCTGGGTTTTAAAAGGCTTTGTATAATAATACAGTAATAGTAATGACTGCATGATTTTGACTTTGTGACCCTTTCTGGGGTTTTCTAGATAGAGAATACATGGAAGTGGTTTGCCATTCCCTTCTGGAGGCATTTTGAGACTGTGCAGCTTGGCAATGACTTAACAGAGCTGGCTCTTCTCTCAGGAGGCACAGTGGGGAATTGAACTCCTAACCACTGGCTCCACGACCAGATACCTAAACCACTGACCTAAATAATACCAGTTTCTTAAACGTAGCTTAATAACAGATTGGGAGCTAGTGTAGATACTTTAACATAGATGCAATGTATATATCAGGGGTCTCAAACTCAATTTACCTGGGGGTCGCTGGAGGCAGAGTCTGGGTGAGGCTGGGCCACATCAGATTTTCCGCCAAGCAGAGCAAGAGCCCGAGGAAGCCGCCCAGGAGTTTCCTTAGCCCACCTGGGGCTCCGAGGAGGAGGAGGGGCATGCAAGCCCTCGTTGCCGGCCACGACCTCCTCCAGCTCCTTCTTCACTAGCACCAGCAGCAGGAGGACAAAGAAGTGGGGAAGGGAGGGAGCGCTGGCGACCGCCTAGCCGGGAGGGGGGGAGGGCATGACATAAAATTTTTTAAAAACCCTCACAGAATTTGCCTTGCCAAAGGAGAAAAGCCCCCACCAGGACCCGCAAAATTAAACAGAACGGGGCAGGGCCGCCACAGGTGCACATGCGTGCACGCACGCACACAAACACACATACACACAGAGGTCTGGCAACCTTCCTCTGAGGGCCCCCCTCAAAAAAGGCGCATTCAGCAGCAGCAGCTACCCCCACCATGACAGAGGAGCAAACTTTGC